ACCTTAGGAGCAGGCTCTGTGTTAAAGACTTCACACACCTTTTCTTGCTGAATGTTCACAATAACCCTAAGAAGCAGATAGTCTTACAACACCTGTTTCACAGATATGGAAAGTGAGGCTCAGAGAGGTGACGTTGCTTGCCTGTGGTCACAGAAGGAGCTGGCATTTGAGCCCAGGCTGGTGTGACACCACCAGAGTTCAGTGGAGCTGACCCCTCTCACTACCTCCACCCCAGCCTGCAGCCCCCCTCAAGCAAGCCTCAGGCATGTCCAGCCATCAGGGGATGCTGCTGGGATGGGGTGAGCTAGTCTGTTCTTATCAGGGAGCCTGTAACAGCGGGCAGAGGTAGTGGACTCAAAGAGGATTTTGTCCCCACAGAAAATGACCAAAAAGAAATGAGTAACTGCTCAAGTCCATTATCCAGTGAGGCCAAAGACTCCACACCCAGAGATAAGAAAGCCAATCAATATAGAAAAAGGTCTCCTTTTCAGTATGGAAAACACCCAAGGTCTTGTATGTAGTCCCATTGCTACTGCCTCTCTCCACACATTCCCTGAAATTCAGCTCCCTTTGGAATTGCAATATATATATATATAGACTTATATACATTCTCTTGTACAGAAATGTTAAATTCTCAAGATTAAGTATCTTCAGTCAGGGAAAATCAATTTGCTGCTTTGAGGAGGCTGGAATTGAAAGTCGTGAGCCTGAAATTTACTTTCTTGCCAATTTTGCTGATAAAAAAAGCATCTCTGTTCTGGCACACCGCCCTGTTTTGGTTGTTCCAGATGATTCCATTAATTGATTTCGGTGAGTAGCCCTCAAACAATCCCTATTAAGGTTCCCACCAGGGCTGGGACAGGCAAGATGACACAGGAGCTTGGTATGTGGGACTTCGTTCCCTGGGTTGGGGACAATAGCTCAGGCCAGTGATGGGAACTCAGGCCAGAGATGGGAGAGAAGGATCTCAGAGTCTATGAAGGGCCCTGGTTTTATCTATCCCTGCTTAGACGTGCCAGAAGGAAACTTTTCAGGGTTGTGTCCCAGAATCACTGAACTACTCAAGGACAAAAGGACAGAACTTAGGGAAAGCAGAGACCATGAGCAGATGGAGTTGAGAATGGGGGCCCCAAGACAGAAGACAAGGACAGTGGGGGACGATTCTAGGAAAGCAGATTTCAGACCCATCTCCCTAAAGGTGATGGAGGTAATAAATTAGATGGTACTGGAGCCAGGAGGCTCCAGAGCCAGGAACCTCTTAGAATCAACGTCACAGCCAGTTTCATGCCTTGTTTTCACCTCCCATCTTCATCTATGGTGTTGTGTTACGGAAAAAGCATATGGTTTGGTGTCAGGCGGGCCTGTGTATAGGAGGAATAAAGTGTTGGAGTATGGAGAGGATATAAGGAGGAGTTTAGAGAAAGAGAAGTTCTTATCCCATTCTCAGACAGAGGGAGTGGGCGGGGCTTCCTGAGTGATTCATTGTCAAGTTACTTTTCTCAGGACTTGTAATTTTTTGGATGGATGACTGGCAGAGTAGGTGACATGAAAAAGTGAGTGGGTAAGATGGGTGAGGAGGAGAAAGGGATGGACGGTTGGGGGATGGATAGGTAGGTAAGAGGACAGATGGATGGGTGGATAGATAGATGGTTGGATAGATGGATAAGTGGATGGATAGATAAGTAACAGGTAGATACTCAGATTAGTTGAATGAACTAGTGTGTAGATGGTGTGTGGGTGATAGCATGATCAGATAATGTTAGTGGATGGGTGGGTGAGTGGTTGGATGGATGGATGGATGGATGGATGGATGGATGGTTGGTTGGATGAATGGATGGATGAATGGATGGATGGATGGATGGATGGATGGACGGATAGATGGATGGGTGGGTGGATGAATGGCTGGATGAATGGATGGATGGATGGATGGATGGATGGATGGATGGATGAATGGGTGGATGAATGGATGGATGGATGGATGGATGGATGAATGGATGGATGGATGGGTGGATGGATGAATGGGTGTATGAATGGATGGGTGAATGGATGGATGGATGAGTGGATGGGTGGATGGATGGGTGGATGGATGGAAAGATAGGTTAAATGGACAGATGCATTAGGAGGTCTGATTGCTTCATCTGTCTTTGGTTCCCACCTCTAGTAGAAGAAGGAGAATTGGGAAAGCAGAAGAGACAAGGATGGAAAGGAGCTGAAGAGCTGCAATCACTAGAGGGAGAAAAGTATTTAGGTTCCAATAACCAGGATGCTACCATCCTGGGAACATGTATATCTGGCAAAGCAGGGATGACTGGACTAGGATAATTTGATTAGAGGAATAGCTGGAATTGATGATTATCTGAAAAAACAACTACATTGAGAACAGGAGTCGCTTATGTGAGTATGTGGTTAAGAGGTATATAAGTTATCTATTGCTGCATACCAAATTACCTGAAATTTCATGTCTTAAAACAACATTTGCTTTCTCACAGCTTGTGGGTCAGGGATCCAGGCAGTTTTGCTGCGTCCTCTGGCTCAGGGTCCCTCGTGGGGCTGCAGACAAGGTGTTGGCTACTGCTGCAGTAATTGCAAGCCATGTTTTCCAAGCTCACTGCATGCTTGTTGGCAGAACTTGGCTCCCCCCAGGTGATTGAACTAAGGGCTTCCATTTTTCAGTGATAGCTGGCCAGAGGCTTCCCTCTGTTTCTTGCCCTGGGAACCTCTCCATAGGGCAACTCATAACATGGCAGCCAGCTTCCATCAGAGTGAGATGAGCCAGACAGAGTACCAGTCACAGTCTCTTGTAACCTAATTTTGGACATGACATCCCATCACTTTTGTGGGGAGTTAAAAGTGAGTCACATTCAAGAAGAGGGGGTTACACAAAGATGTGAATGCCAGAGATGGGGATCACTAGGAGTCATCTAGAAGCTTTCTACAACAGGAGAATCTAGGGAGGTGGCATAGCAGAGTGAGAATGGAACAGAGAAAGTAAAAGAAGTTGGAAGTGGGAGAATCTGCTGATCAGAAATTTTCTAGAAAATAAATATCTGGGGAGGTGGAAAAACTGAACATCAGGAAGATTTTTAAGGGCAAGATTATTGAGTGGGGCACAGCCTGGGTCACAGGAAGCACTGAGGTGGAAGAATAGCTGGGGAGGTGGGAGAACAGAGAGCACAAAAGGCTTGGAGGCACGGATTGCAGAGGTAAGGGAGTCCTGCGGAGCTGGAGTAGCTGGAGAGTAGCAATGGCTGAAAGAAGGGCAGGCTGAGGACCAGGAGGGGCTGGGAGAGGCCAGTGAGAGCTGCAGGCATCTGGGCCCTTTCATGCCTTTGGCTTTGGGGAAGGTAAATTTGTGGGTAAGGGAGTGGCTGCTTATCTGTGAAGGTGCCCGCAGCCCTGTGCCCAAAGGAGGCGTCACTGGCACTCGGTTTCTTCCCCATCCTCCTGCCCATGCCCCAGCCCTGCGCCAGCGTGTTCAAGTGCACCCATGCCATCAGGCACACTGGAGCTGGGCCTGGTGCCAGTCAGACAGGCTGACATCACAGACAGGCACAGCTAGACTTGGAACCAGCTGGGCTCAGTGGGGCCTACAGAGCCACCTGTTCCCCTGAGATCAGCCAGGGCAAGGCGGATCCCTGCTGGGAGCAGGCAGTTGGCAAAGCACTAAGTTCTCAAGAAATCTCATGAGTGCCGTCCACCCTGATCTGCACAGTCTCCCAGGCAGCAAGGGACACTCAGACATTGCTCTCCTCCCTCCTGGCCCCAGTGACCTCTCTGCGTCTCCCCAGAGCAGGCATAGCTTCCCACCCACTGAACCCAGTCTTAGGGATTCTGGTTCTGTCCATGCAACCGTGTCCAGCCCAGGACTCTACAGCCCTGGGCTCTGGTGCAGCTGAAGGGGGCTTGCAGACCACCCCCTCCGACTCCCCCTACTTTTCTCCCCCTCCGCAATTCTCACCCTGCTCCTTCCTCACAGTAATGAAGTGGAACATGTTTCAGGCAAAATCTTCCCCTGAAATAGGACATAGAAGAGGCCTCCTTTGGATGAAGTGAAAGGGGAGACCTGGGACCCACTCATCTTTGCCCTGATGGGCAGCGGTCTCTCCCCCTCCACCTTCATAGTGGTTTCTGTGAGTGGGCCGCTGAAGGGTTAGGGGCATGGACTCTGGAGCCAGATGGCCTGAGTCTGAAGCCTGGCGTTTCTACTTCGTGCCTGGGTAAACTTAGGCAAGTGACTTAGCTGTGCCTCGATCTTTTTATCTGTCAAGTGGGGCTCATGATGGTGCCCGCCTCCTGTGATCGCTGTGAAGAATCAACGAGTTAATGCAGGTAAAGCTCTTAGAACAAAGCCTGAACATGCTAACTTTTCATAAACTTTAGAGAAAGAAAATACATGTATAAAAAGTCAGACAGGCACAGCTAGACTTGGAACCAGCTGGGCTCAGTGGGGCCTGCAGAGCCACCTGTTCCCCTGGGATCAGCCAGGGCAGGGGAGGCCAAGGCAGGCGGATCATCTGAGGTCAGAAGTTCGAGATCAGCCTGGCCAACATGGTGAAAACCTGTCTCTACTAAAAAAAAAGAAAATAAAAAATTATCCGGGTGTGGTAGCAAACGCCTATAGTCCCAGCTACTCGGGAGACTGAGACAGGAAAATCTCTTGAATCCAGGAGGTGGAGGTTGCAGTGAGCCGAGATTGTGCCGCTGCACTCCGGCCTGGGTGACAAAGCGAGACTGTGCCTCAAAAAACTCATGCCATGGCCAGGGTTTCCAGGAAGCAGGCCTGAGTCTGCATGTCCTCTTTGTCACTGGCCAGCTGTGTGTTTGGGGGCCTTTGCTCCCAGGGCCTCAGTTTCTACCTGTGAGCACTGTGTAGCACTCCCTTTCTCTGAAGATCGTAGACAGAGTTTGAGGCCCCGCCGTGTGTTAAGCAGGGTGTGTGGTGCTTGGTCCCTGATGCGCCCAGTAACGGTGTGTGCATCACCTCTTCCCTCGCTGCCCAGAAATCCAAGATCTCCACCTTCGAGAAGATGTGGGCGTTCATGAGCAGCAAGCCCTCGGCGCTGGTGAAGAACAACGAGGAGGGCATCCAGAGGGCCCTGACAGCAGACTACGCGCTGCTCATGGAGTCCACGACCATCGAGTACGTCACGCAGAGGAACTGCAACCTCACCCAGATCGGGGGCCTCATCGACTCCAAGGGCTACGGCATTGGCACGCCCATGGGTGAGCAAGGAGCTGTGGGCGGGAGGGGCAGGGCTGTGGGCACAGGGTGGGCTCCACCCCCAGGTCCACTCACGCTCCCTCTCGCAGCTCATTCCATGGGGCTGATTAAGGGGACATTTTCTTAGCCCAGAAGCAGAGGGACGGAGCCGCATGCCTTGTGAGGGTGGCCCTGGTCTGAGCAATGAGAGCTGGGACAGACGCAAGGTTCGGGGGCAGTTCCCAGAGGCTATTCCTGCCTTCCCTCTCCCACTCCTGCTGATGCAGCTAAGGGGCACTGGGCCTTCGGGAAGCCCATAGGGACTGATTCACAACGGGCTCGACCACTTGCCAAAACGGGACATTTCCACCCACCCAGATACCATGTGTTCATTTAAAGGGGAGACCCACAGGGATAGGGCCCCTGCTTTTATGAGCTGATCCAGAGGGCTGGTGATGGTGGCCTGAACAAGGTGTTGGCAGGGCCAAACACGGCATGGGCTACTCGCCACTGACGGCCAGAGGTCCCTTGTCCCTGCCCAGGCTCCCCATACCGGGACAAGATCACCATCGCCATCCTGCAGCTTCAGGAGGAGGACAAGCTGCACATCATGAAGGAGAAATGGTGGCGGGGCAGCGGGTGTCCTGAGGAGGAAAACAAAGAGGCCAGCGCCCTGGGGGTCCAGAAGATCGGGGGTATCTTCATTGTCCTGGCCGCCGGGCTGGTCCTCTCTGTGCTGGTGGCCGTGGGCGAGTTTGTGTACAAGCTCCGCAAAACAGCAGAGAGAGAGCAGGTAAGCCTCAGAGCGTGGGGTCTACACAGGACAGGGAAGGAGGTTTGTGCCGATTTCACCCCTCTATGTGCCAGGCACGCAGTGGTGTCTCATCTCAGCCTCCTAACAGCCCACCCTGCATCCAGTCTGTCAGCAAGCCCCACCCTCTACCTCCGTCCTGACCTAACATGTTTTTCCATCACTAGGATGTGCCCCCTAGGCCAAGCCCCATCACATCCTGCTGAATTATGCCACAGCCTTCAAACTGACCTTCCAGCCTCCAAGCTTCCCCAACACCATCCACAATTCACACAGCAGCCAGCGCCTTGTTTAAAACTTAATTCAAACCATATCATTTTCCTGCATAAAACCCTCCAGGGTAATTGTGGAAGGCGGGCGTTGGTTGCATAGGGGTTCATTATACGGCTCTCTCTATCTACCTTTGCATATATTTGGAAATTTCCATAATCAAAAGTTTAAAAAAGAAAAGTTAACAGGGTTGGCCCAATCATATAGACAGTAGAACGAGGCTCAAACCTTCTGATTAATTCAAACCTGGTTGGACAGTAGTTCTGGATCCCAGTCGCAAATTAGAATCACAGGGAGAAAGTTTTCAAGTGCTAATGCCCTGGCCTCACTCCCAGAGGCTGTTTTAATTGGTCTGTGGTGGAACCGGCATTGTGCTTTTAGGAAAGCCTGCAGGGTGATTTAACTGTGTGTCTGAGTTGAGGGTCGTTGGGCTGGGGGAAGCACAACTCACGGAGAAGTTCAAGGAGATTGCAGTTAAATCATATATAGAGGGGCGCGTTATAAACAAGCAACTTACATATCCATAAAAGACGAAATGGAATCCTCTATAATCAGCAAGCCCTCGTCAACAAAGAGGAGGGGGATAGATAATACTGGATGTTGGAATTTGCAAGGGTGTAAGGGAGGGGACACTGTCCAGCATTGCTGAGGGGAGCCTGTGCAGCTGCTTTTCTGGAATGCAACTTCACGGCGTGTTCCGAGTCTTCCACAGTATCCATACATTTGGCCAGTCAATTTCCACTCTTAGAAATGAACCCTGTGTAAGTGGTCAAAGATGGGTGCAGTTTTATTTACAGGGAAATTTGCTAAAGTGTAAATTATAACAATAAAAGATGGGAGGGAGGGGTAAACACCTAAATCTCTAACCAACAGAGAATGGTTCTCTGTTGATACAAAATTATGATACATCAAAAAAGAACAACACCAGATTCTCTGGAAATTCTCATTGCAGTTAAAAGGAGCTCCTGCTTCCACCAAAAAGCCTGAAGTCTCCATCTACTCACTTCTCTGTCCACCTTCTTCTCTCCCTCTCCTCCCCTACTCTGCTCCACACACACTGGCCTCCTCTTCAGTCCTGAACACACCAAGCACATTCCTGCCTCGGGCCCTTTGCACGTGCTGCTCCTAGAATGCTCCTTCCCTAGAGCGTGTGTTCTTGACATCTCCTGGTCGTTCTTATTTCAGCTCCAATGTTACTTCCTCAAGTAGCCTTCCTTACCAACTGCTCCCGTTCCCACCCGTTCTCTGTCCCATTTCACTGCTGGATTCTCTTCCTAATGGCTATTACTGTCTGAAATTATTTATTTGTTCACATGTTTATTATCTGTTCCATCCCATCATTAGCTCCCTGAGTGGGCTGTGACCTTATCGGTCTTCTTCACTGCTCTGTGCCTAACACCTGGAACAGTGCCTGGCACATAGTAGGGTCACATTAAGTATTTGAGGAATGAAGAGGAGGAGGTGAGGAGGGATGGCGTTCTGTATGTAGTAGGTGAGGAAAGGGAAGCCTGGAGGGATCACAGCTGGTAGGAGGCAGAGCCAGAATTGACCCCTGCATACAAGTGGTCCTGGTGCTAGTGCCCTGGTCTCACTGGGTAAGTTGAGGTATCAGCAGCCCCCACTGCCTTCCGTACAAGCTGCAGGACAACCTCTGAAAGCCACCATCATCAGATACCTGCGGGAAATGCTGCACTCCTGCGGTCCCTCTTGGCTGGGTGCAGGGACCCAGGCCAGAAGGAGGTCACTGCCACCCACCAGCCCTACAGAGACCTGCCTCCCAGTTTCCCACCTTGAGAAACACGTGCTGGACTTCCCTAAGTGGGAAGATGCTGATTCTTTCCCTTAGTTGGAAGCCCTTCCGGGAGAAAGTTTGTCCATATATTTGTCAAATGTGTCTTGAGTCCTGACCCTGAGCCAAAGCTAGTGCTTTGGTCAGAGCTCAGGGGGTGGGCTCATGGGGATGAAACTGGCTGGTTCCTTTCTCCAAGTCTAGTGAAGAAAATGGCCCGGGTAAACCAGAGCTCCTCAGACCTTAATGCATATGCCAATCAGAGCCTCATTTGCTCAGCTATAAATGAGGTTAATTTGATGATGCCTGCCACAGCTACCTGAGTATCCAAACAAGAATGTCAGGTGTTGTAGACTGCTGCACAAACTGATCATCCTGCAGGTGGCAGAGGGGTGGGTGGGGTGAAGGTGTGAGAAAGACAGGCAGCCTTAGCATAGACTCTGGGAGAAAGGGAAGGAGCTGGCTGGGATTGCAGGACCGGGCATCACTCTGTGCCCCTTTTCTGACCCCTCTTCTCCATGCTCTTTCAGCGTTCCTTCTGCAGCACTGTGGCCGATGAGATCCGTTTCTCCCTTACCTGCCAGCGTCGAGTCAAGCACAAGCCGCAGCCTCCCATGATGGTCAAGACTGACGCCGTCATCAACATGCACACATTCAATGACCGCCGGCTTCCCGGCAAGGACAGCATGGCTTGCAGCACATCCTTAGCCCCTGTGTTCCCCTAGGCACAGCTGGGGTGGGGACCGCAGGCCTGGGGGCTGGGCAGAAAAAAGCAAAGGAGATTGGAAGGAACGTCCCCTATCCCCACACTGGGCTTGGGGACCAGAGCTGCCACCTGCCCTTACCTGCCAGGAAGCCAGCAGGCTCTCAGGCCAGCTGCTTGGGCTTCATCCTCCTCAGTTCTTCTGTGGGTTTCTAAAGCTGCCAGCCGAGATAGCCAAGGCCAAAGGAAGCACATGCCTCTCTCAGGCCAAACTCACCCGCCCCTCAACTCTCCTCCAGAGTCAGAAGCTTCTGCCACAGCCCTACAGAGGCCACAGAAAACGGAAGACAGCTCTTATATTGCCATTCCTTCCCCAAGAGCCCAGGCCTCTTAGAACTTGACCATGAGTCCAGAGACACAAGCCTTCGGCGCCTTACGGATGGCTTCTAGCATGGCTGCCAATGGGAGCTCATGGTGGGGGATCCCCCTCCTATATGCCTGGGCAGAAGGAAGACGTCATCCCTTTTGGGCTGTTCACGTGGTCATGATCTTCTGGACTTGGTCCCACCCCTGGCAGCCCCTGTTTTGGCAGCATTGAAGACAGAGCCACACAAGGGAAAGAGGAGTTTGGGGTATGGCAGAGAAGAGAACGCACAAATAGAGGCCGCCATTTTGGATTCTTATGGACCATGACCCAGTGGCTCCCACTCCTCTGGGAGGTCTCTAGGAATATAAGTGGGGGAGTGGTCACTAAAATTCTTCCCCACTTTCTGGCCAGAAGAGAGAGCCCCGCCCCCAATCTCTCACAAAGGATGCTCAAAGACTCAGCCGATTTTTGAAGCCCAGCAGAGGAAAAGCAGATTCCACAGAAGCCCCACCAGCTCTTGAGCCAATGGCTCTCACTTTGCTGGTTGGCAAGCTGTTGTCTAAACCCTGTTTGCATTTGGAAACCCAGGTTCTTTGCCATCTTCTCATCAACAACTACCCATTCCTGGCTGGTTGACCTTGGCCTCCCTCTGGCCTCTCGAAAGGAGAAGAGTTGATTGAAGTGAAAGTCAGGTTGCCCCTCCTCAAAAAAGGAGTCAGTATTCTACCACACAGGCTAACTCTGGGCTAGGTGGGGGAAACCAGAAGGGACCAAAAGAACTTCTGGTCTCCTGGACTTACCAAACCTAGAGATGTTCCCCAGAAAAAGAAAGTTTCCAGGGACATAATATCCTAGCTTGCAGAGGCGCCAAGGGTGAGGAAAAAGAGGCTGTCTCCTGGAGAATTAACCAAAGACCCCACACAGAGACACGAGGCCATCCTGGCCCATTGTCTGTTGTCCAGAGTAGCTGCGACCTTGTGGGGCTTGGGGGAGACAGCAGAGAAGTAGCAGCAGGTGGGGTACCAGCCAGAGGGTAGACCAGATGATCTGTGAGTTCCAGCTTGCTGTAATGAATGCTCTCGAGGTCTGTGACTTTAAGAGTCTTGGAAAGAATTAGACAGGAAGGCTTAGGAAAAAAGTGTCCTTAAAGAGAACACGACAGGCCAGCAGGTTTGCCATGGCCAAGGATGGAGGGCAGTCTTTGAACAGGGGAGGGAGGTTCTGGAGATTCTGGATGAGAACTGGGGGACACCAGCCACTCCCCTCCCACCTCTGTCCTGTGTGGTTGGGAAGCCTGGTTAGGAGAGCTGCATTTGGATCTCAAGGCTTTTCTTATCTGGGTGAAGGTTAATCTCTAGCAAAGCAGGAGACTACAGTGGGTTCATGTGATAAACACTGTCCTTCCTCCAGACTGTGAGCTGCAGGACCAAACCAACGGGTTCCCAGAATCTCAGCAGCTCTGACTGGCTGTGTACATTGGACGAGGGAGAGGAAGGCTAGACAGACACCATAGCCCCATGCATGCAATGTTAGGAAAAGCCATGCTGTCATAAGCTTGAGGGTGCAGAGGGCGTGTGCATGTGTGTCTATGTCTTTGTGTTTGTATGTGTGAGCTTTGGGGGCTGGGGTGCAGGACAGATATGGACATATAACACAGTCCAGGGCATGCAATAATAGGTGAATCCTTGGTGATCTGATGTGTGCATACGCGTGTATGTGACTGAATTGTGTATGTGTATGTATGTGTATGTGTATGTGTATGTGTATGTGTATGTGTATGTGAGTGAACTGGGGACAAGGGAGACAAATCTGGGTGAGCAGCAGGGCCCCATGTATGTAAAAACAGGAGAAGCCATGTCATAATGGGGCCCTGGTGAGTATGCGAATGTAAGCGCGCATGCACACGTGTGCATGCTGGTGTGTGTGTGTGCACTTGTACACTGAATGGCATAGGATGGGGGACAGGATCCTACCTGCAGCTAGCCAAATGTGTGTAAAAGGAGAAGCCATGTCACCAAGGGGTCCATGTGTGAGTGCATGTGGACATGTATGTGCAGGCATGTGTGCACAGTGGGGAGCAGAGGGAAGGCCAGGACCAGAGGGTTGTGTGACATGGATCAATGCATGCTGTAGACAAGAAGCCATGTGGGGTTGAAGTTTCCAAGTGTGTGTGTGGGACACAGTCGTATGTTCTAGGTCACAGTAGAAGCAGAGACGGACAATCAGGAAGGCCAGGCACCAGGGTCTGTTTGCACTTATGTCATGGGAGAGATTGTTTGTCACAGAGATTCACCGAGGTTGCATGGGCATCCCTGCCAGGAGACGGGCTAAGTGGGGGCATGACCCTTCAGGGGCTCATGCTGCTGGTGCCTTTGCTGTAGACGTCATGTCCCGTTTGAAGGGAAACTTTTTTTTTTCGTAATTCCCAGGTAACAGGATTCTAACGAAGGTATTTGCCAGTTTGCTCTCAGCAAACACAATCGTGAGCCGCCGTCTGACTTTGTCCAGTACTCATAGCATGCACCTCATTCACGCTGTCTCACATGTGTTGTGCGCGTGATGCCACATGAGCATGTTATGTCCTTCTGAGACTATGCATATGTGTGGATTATGACAGGAGGAAGAAGAAGTGAGAATTTTTATAAAACAGCAAAGAATAGTGGACAAATAGAGGCCATATTCAATTAGAGAAACCCCTGCAAAAGGGACTGACTGGTCTTCAGGCTCCTGTGTGGAACAGGAGGGCATGCTGCCTCACCTCCTCTCCCATGCAAGCCTTGCATCCTCCCGATGTTCAGGGGTTGTCAGTGTGGCTGATGTTCGGCTTCTGGCTGACATCCTGTGTTTGTCCTAGTGTTCAAAGTGCAGTGGGGACCACTGCCGCCCAAGTATGAGCTCTGTTTCTCCTGGGGACTGAGAGTGCTGCTACATCTGTGAGGTGGGACGGAGTGGGGAGGTGTTTCCAGTGAGGCAGATCATGTGTTTTCTAAGTTTAGGTCTGTCCTGCCTGTGGGCATGGAGCTGAGCTGGGGTAGGCGCATGCGTGTGTGTGTATTTGTGTGTATGCACGTGTAGTGCATATGCACACGTGCAGGCACTGAGGGGTAATGGGAAGCATGAAACTGGTTTGGATGGAGCAGAAGATGGAACCTGCCTGAGCAGATGCTGAACTGTCCCTGCCTGGTGCCACATGCCAGCCCTGAACAGAAGAATGCCCCCCCATCCCCAAATGCCAGTGCCTCCTCTCCACCTGCGCCAGCTGGCCAAGTTGAGGGGCAGTGGTGAGAAGACACGGACACCCACCACCCCTGCTCTGGGGCTTAAGGACAGTGAGTCCTCCCAATCATTCTCCCCTTGTCCTGCTGCTGCTTTCTCTGCTTTAGACAGAAGAAAATCCTGAAAGCGTTGTCAATGTTCAAGTGGCCCCATGCTGCAAGAGTCTCTCAAGAGGGGAGATGCCCCCTTGGCCAATGTGCTGGACTTTGAGTGTCTGAGGGGTGGGAGGGCCACCCCCTCCTCACAGCCAAGACTACCTAAGCTGGAAGCACAATCTGGCTCCACCCCGAACCCCTGCTATGCCCCAGGCCCTGGAAGATGGGATCCTGGCCCAGGCCGGGGAAAAGGGCCAAATGGGTTAGAAGTTGCTCCCTCTCCACCAGGCATGTGCTTACCAAGAACAATCAAAAGCTTCCTTTCTGCCTGCTTTTCCAGGGGGTACTGGGTAGGGGGGTGGGTGACAGCTCCTGCTTCGTCACTCAGCATGAAGTTGGTCCCTCCCTGAGCCATTCCCAGCTACATGCTCAAACATCTGAAAGTAGGCTGGCCTCTGTGGCTCACATATGAAATGGTCCTGTGCGGACACCCAGCTGCAAAGGGGTTAGAGGTTTGGACAAGTAGCTGCATGGACTTAACGTCTGGGATGGGCCCAGCCCCATGGACAGACACAAGAAATGGGCCCAACTCTGTGGGCAGTTCTCTGGATTAGTCAAATCTGGAAGTTGCAGGTCAGGTGAACACATCTGGAAAGGGCCTGGTTGCTCGCTGCCATGGAAGGGCCATGCCCTCTGTCCCCGTGGCAGTTTAAATCAGGCCCTCCCTTCCGTCTTGGATTTGCCCTGGAGTTAAAATTTCAGAGCTGAGGTCACAAAACTTTGAGATAGAAGGTTAATGTTCTGTACAATATATATATGAATGTAAATATATATATATATATACTGTATACATATATATATATGCACAGTGTATATATGACCTGTAGCCCATGTGTATACAACCCTTCCCCGCACGTCTGCACACGGAGTGTACATAACCCAGCCAGCATGGGTGGGGACCAGGTGAGAGATGGGGGCTGCAGCAGCAAAGTCCAGGACAGAGGTCACAGAGAGCCCCTCGGGGTGGGGAAGGCCCTCCACACATCAGAGCTCCAGACCCTGAAGAAGAGGGCAGAGCTACGTGGTGCTGCCAGGTGGGTCCTGCACAGCCAAGACCTCCTGTGGGAGGGGCAGGAGTGGCCAAGGGACCTCGTCTCCATCCGAGCCTGTCTGAGGCAGGACAGCTGTGTGTGTCTTGGAAGCAATGTCATGCTAGCACTGGGCCCCTGTGCCAATATTACATTCTAGTTCTGGGGCAATTCACTGGGAGCAGAAGGGCTGGGAAAGGGGTGGAGGGCACTTCCCAGCCCTGTTCTCACACCTGCCTGCAGATGCCAGGTAGGTTTCAGGCTCCACCTAGAATACTCTAGAAGGTGGGGTTATTCTAGGTAGCAAAAGCCTCTGCCTCTGATGCTCACCCACATGCAGAAGTGGTTACAACTTGTACACAGCACAGCTCACAGCTAGGGAAAGCACTTGTTAAAGAGAAAGCCTCCCAGGGCATTGCCAGCACACCAATACAGTGTTCCCAGGCCCCCTATTGATCCTGTCCTCCTGCCTTCTAGAACAGTGGCCCTCAAATCACCTCCCAGATTGTCTCCATTTTATGGATCGAAACTTTGAAGTTTCCAGACATGAAGAAGCAGCCATAGCCTCAGTGAAATGCCAGCCAAGGGTTTGCCTCGCCTCAGACAACCTCCCCAACCCCATCTGATCCAGAGGCCAGCAGTCAGGGAGCAACCTCAGAGCCAGAGAGGTGAAAGATGAGAGGCAAGAAGGTAGCTCCTATCCTAGCATGGCCCAGGCTCATCTGTCTGCCCTTCTCTCCCCTGCAGGGAGGTTGGCAGAACGCCCCCTCCGCAGGAGGCTGCAGACCTCTGTCCCTGGCTCACCCAGATGGGTCTGTTCTCCACAGTTCCAGTCCTTTTGCCCCTTTCGCGGGTCTGAGCATCTCTGGAGCGTGCAGGGAAAGAGATCTGGAGTGGGCTTCTGTGCAGTCAGCAGCCTGCCCCAGCTTCAGCCTCTGGCTTCAGACTGGTCTGCACTGAACTCTGGGTCTGCCTCTGGGGCCCTAACCAAGCACGCCTGACTCCAGCCCCATGAGGAGATCCTGTCTTGGTTCCATAGTGATCATGGGCCCTCTTACCACTGTGCGTCAAGCCCCCAGCCCATCTCTGCCTGGGCTGACTTCCTGGTTGGGCCTTCCATGGTAAGGGCCTCAGTTCCCAGGCTCTGGGCTGAGCCCCCAGGCAGCACCATGGGCCTCTGAGACCCTGGACCTGTCCCACCACCCAGACCAGAGTGCCTGGACACCCCCCACTCCCACTCAACATGGTTCCCACACACTGGTCTCTGGGCCATTCAGGGGATGCCCTTTGTGGACATGCAGAATTTCTATGAATATAGTTTTTTGTAAACATTTTGTAACAATTTGGGTTTCATAGTAACTGTGTTACTTGCCAATCATTCTAGGCTGATGTAAATAAATTTCCAAACAAATTCGATTATTTTCCTTTTTAAGACACTGTGATATATCAAAGTACACAGTTTGCTGTATGAAGTAATATGGTTTTAAATTTTAAATAAAGAAATGTTTCTAGAAAACAGGGCTCCTTTGAGGTGTGTTTTCTGTTTCTCTTCTCTCCATAGAACCAGAAGGTGCTGGACGATGAGCTCTTACCATCTTCCTTCAGGGATGACTGTGTCCCATGCAAGAGACCCTGGTGCCCAGCACGTGGATGGCTCCCGCCAGGCTCCTGGTTCAGACATTGAGGGCGTAGTGTCTGTCCTTGAGACTGTCTGACCTCTGTCTTCCCTTCCCTTGGCAACATCCCTCCCAAGTCATCTCCATCCACACACTCCCTTGGGAGCTGCCACATACTTACTCACGTGGCCCTGTCCCTTTGGTCACAGCTGGTGAGGTCAGGTGGACACCTTATCCCAGCTGGGTCAGAGTCTTGCCTGAGCCTTTTCAAACTGGAAAGGAGAAAGCTCTATGTCAGCTGCCCTCTGGAGATGGAAACTGCACATATAATCAGAGTTCAGGACGGGACGTTTCAAGCAGGAAGGGATTCAATAGGGAGGTTTATAAAACCAGTGGAAAAGATGAGGGAGCCTGGCCAACTTGAGCCTCCAGGAATGGCTCCCAGAATAATACAGAGCTGACCCCCAGCACATGACCACCTCTGAGCCTGGTGCCAGAGCTGGGAGGGAAAGACGCACCCCAGAGCTGCAATCCAGGGCCCAGGAAGTCTCTGCATCAAGACAGTGGGGCCCCCACCACCCCACACCATAGTCTCCTCGGCACCCAGGAAGTTGGAGCAAGTAGTGGGCTGAAGCT